TATGAATAAAAATAACTCTTTGACTAGCTACTCAGAATATCCATTATGAGAACTTTAAAAATATATTGAGAAAACCCCTAAAACAACATAGATTCCATTTTGTACTTTTTTTTTTTTTTTAAAGATTTTATTTGTTTTAGAGAGAGAGCATGAATGTGAGCGGGAGGGACAGAGAGGAAGGAAAAAGAGCCTGAGAAAGAATCTGAAGTCAAACAGGCATTGAGCTTGGAGCCAGAGACTAGGTGACCTGGAGGTCATGACCTGAGCCAAAATCAAGAGTCTGCTGCTCCACCAACTGAGCCACCCAGGTGTCCCCACATTTTGTACTTTTTATCTACTAATCTTATGGTCCATTTTTACTAATCATGGTATTACTGATTACAAAGGAACTAAGAATAACAGTCCACAATATCCTCCAGGACTTATGAAAGAAATCATATAGGAAAATCATCTGCCCCAATGTATTGTACTTTGTATTCCACCCATGTCAATACTAAACATCACCTGTTATACCCTAACACTGCTCCAACCCCTTTCCAACTGGAACATACAAAACTTAGGACCTTGAATCCTCAATACATTAATGAGCTACTAAACTAAGTTTCAACCCTCATAAAGTCAATATGCCTTTTTTAATTTATAGAAATGCAAATGTTGTCTAGGATAGCACTGTCCAAAAGAAATTTCTGTGATGAAAATGTTCTGTATCTATACTGTTCAATAGGGTAGCTGCTAGCCATTGAGTTCTTCAAATGTGGCTGGTGGGACTAAGGAACTGAATTTTTAATTGTATCTGGTTCTGAGTAATTTAAACAGCCACATGTATTGGTTAGTACTGGTCTAGTAGACTCTTAAAATAGGTAAGTGTTAGAACTGGAAGTAGATTATGGGCAATCAAGAAATCTTAAAATTATCAGCTTTATGTTTTAAAAACTCTGTCATTCATTCCTTCAGTATGAATTTTTCCAGAAGGTTCACATTAAAAAAAAAAACAACAACACAAAAACCAACCAAATTCTTTAGGTTGCTTTTCTGTATGAATCATCTTTTTGCAAAGAGGTGTAAGACTGATTTTATTGCCAACTCTGCCCCCTCTTCTACAGACAGAACTCAGTGATTAGGTTCTTGCATTTATTTAGGTTACTCTCCTAAAAAACATGGTTTCCATACTGCAAATAAATGACAGGAACTTTTCCACTAAATTATCCCAGACAGCACAAATGTTCTTTCCAAAAGTGGAGACTGGAACCACAGCCCCCTCACGTTGCCTGCTACATCTGTTTATGCTTATAGAAGTGACATCCACTTTGTAGACAGAGAATGCCAATTTCTTGGGAAAGCACCCAGAATTTGGTGAGCTTGAAGAAAAAAATTCACTGTTCAAAATACTTAGAATTGAGTAACTACAAAGGCTTTTTGAAATTAAGTGGGGAGAGATTTTGCTTCCAGGGTATAGATTCTGTATACAGACTTGCTGGAGTTCATATCCATCTACAATCATTTAGTAGTTGATAAAGCTCTGGGTAAGTTACAAACCTAAACTTCAGTTTTCCCATTTGGGAAACGCAGATAATTATAGTTCCGTTGGGAAAACTTGTTTAAGAATTTGAAATGGGCAAAATATCACTGGGTGTTCTTTCAGTGGAAGGCTGGATGTTATCTACAGGAATCTGGTTTTTTGGTTCTAAGGCAGTCTGCACCTTTGACCTTCGACAAGGCCATTTTACTATTTTATAAGCTGTAGAAACTAATGGTAATGTAAATGTTCTTATCTATAGAAATGCAAAATTACTTTGTTTTTTAGAGATACCATTACTTCCCTGTAGAATAGATAATTCGAAACATTTCATTTTGAGGCCTTACAGAGTTTTAACCTGTTTGGCCTTTTTACGGATTGTCCGTTAAGATCTGCTTTTCACATCCCTGTTGGAATGGGTCGTAACATCTTGCGATTCCCTCCTTAATTAATGAGTCAAATGATATTTCTGACACATTTTTATTTTCTATGTCTATGAGAGCTACGGTATTACCTTCTTGAAAAATTATCCTTTAGTCATTTCTACCCTGTGGAATATTTGGGAGGATTGGTTAAAAAATCCACATTGATCCTCATGATCAGTTTCGTATTTTGCTCCAAGGCTGTAACACTTCCGGTCTTGGGGCGGTGGTGGGGGGGGAGAAGGGGGAGTAGCGGCAAAAGGGGGAGGTTGGGGGTCTGAAAAACTCCATCCTGATACGAACGTCAGAAGACCTCCTCATCCTTTTCTTTTTTAACAGTGGAGACTTGAGGTCAAGGTGGGTGTTAGGCGGGGCACAGTGGCCTAGGTGTTGGCCTTCCGGGCCTGGAGAGTGGCCTGGGGTTTTAGATGCCCTGGGGTCATCAAGTTAACTGCAGACTTTGTGGGGGCCCAGCAGCGGGCCGAGCGGTGGCCCAGTTTCCGCCGAACCAACCCCTCTCAGCAAGGCCGAGAGGCCCCAGGAGAGCAGGCCTTGCCCCAGGCCCCGGAGGCCCCTAGCCCGCGGCCGAGGGGGTGGGGCGGCCTCTCCTCGGGCCGGTGCTTTTCGCCCTCGGTTGGCCGCCAGAGGCTCCCTCTCTCTCTCCCTCTCCTGGGATTTTGCTGCCGGGCTCCCTCTCTCTGCGGCCCTAGAGTTAATCCCATCAGCCGAGGTGAGGCACCTGTTACCCTGGGCCTTCCTCACCCCCGCGGCCTCTCCCCCACTACACCTGGGCTCCCGGGCGGCCCAAACGGCCCGACGCGGGTGACCGCACGTGGGCCAAGCCCCTTCCGCGCCGGGACCCCCGCCCCAGGCCGGCCAGAGTGTGCGAGCGTGTCGCGGCCCGGGCCTCCGCCCGCCCGCAATGGCGTTGGGGAGCGCAGCGCGCCTCCCGGGGCCGCCCGCCGCGGGCTGGGCGCGCGTGGGGGCCGCGGCGCGAGTGGAAGCAGCCGCCGCAGCAGCCCTCCGCGCTGCGCCGTGAGCGGCGGGTGGAGGGGCGCCGAGCCGGCCGGCGCGGATAGAGTCGCGGCCACCGTGGGGCGGGGGGCGCCTCTAAGGAGGGGGGTGGGAGCCGCGGCCGCCCGACCCTCCCCGCCGGCGGCGGCTCCCGCTCGGGTAAGGGGGAGGCTGTGCGCGGGGCGAGGAGTTGGGGAGGGTGGAGATGAAGAGGAAAAAAATCGGGATGTACAAAGGCTGAGTTGCAGGCTGGGGGTGGGGGTGGGTTGTGGTTGGGGAGCGATAGGTTGAGGATCGGAGGCATTATCAGTGGGATCTATTGTTTCCTGGCACATTGGGAGGAAAAACAAAGGGATTTATTATCATTACCCTGTAATTTTTTTTTTCTTTTTCTTTTTTTTAATGTGGCTAGGGAGCTCGGCTTTCCCCGTGCCACACTGGGATCCGCCTGGCAGCCGCCGGGAGCCGCAGCCAATGTGTTAGGACTTCAGGTGCTTTTTGGCACAAAGCTAGACTGCGACTTCCTACCATAGCGCTTGGCGTCACCTGCTCTCCCGGCCCTGCCCCGGGGCCGAGGGATTGCGTCCCGAACCAGGCTTGGGAACCGGCTGCCTCTCAAGTTGGTGTTATTTATGTTTGTCTTTTGTGAGGGCAGGTTTTGAGTCCCCCGGCGGCCCCATCTCCCCCGCCCCCGCCCCCTCGGGTTCGAATTGGCCGGGGAGGGAGTGGGGTGTACGTGGGGGGGGGGGAGGGGAGGGTGTGCAGGGCTTAAACAAATGTCAGGGTACAAGGAGATTGTCGATGCTTTACAAAAAAACAGGCACCACACTCTCAAGCCTTTCTTGTTTGTCTGCATGGGCCATGCATGCGTGCTGGGCCAGAAGCCGAGTTTGGAGGCGGTTTAAGTGAAAGTGTGTGCTTCCTCAGCTGATTGTGCGTGAGGGTGATATGGCTCGGCCTAATATTAAAAGACAAAACAAAGCAAAAACAAAATGAAAAATCTTTAGAGCTACATTGTCTGCGTCTCAGCGGATCTTGAAGTATTTGATTACTGGCATATTGATATAAAATCCAGCTGTGGGCTAGTGGAGACCAGCAAGCATGCATTGCGTTGCATTCTGAGCTTGTAGTAAGTTAGAGGAGTAAACAAATCAGGACGATGAAAAGAGGGCTCATGTTATATTTGCTTTCTGATCGTCACGTTCTGCATTTATTCCCGTGATATTCTACATCTCACTCTATAATTAATAGTATCCACGCTTAGGAAACTTCCAGATATTAGATGTGAGTGCACTTAGAGTGAAACTTATTTTCATTTAAGAACTTTCTTCTGCTTGTTTTGGTCTGAAAATGTACTAATGTTGCTTGGGGGATGCTGTAAATGAGAATATTGGACCAAAGAGAGTGAACTAAGCTTCTGTAAGCATATTTTGGACTTTGGAAACATAGATTCCAAACTTTGAATTGTGCTTATACAGAAAGAATAAATTCTACCTGATGGGGAGCACCCCAAATGAAATTCATTTTTCTGAAGGTTTGGTGATATCTTAAAGATCTGTGAACTGCTGGTTTCTTTGAAGGTCATTCACAAAAGCAACAGAAACTTAGGCTAAAGTTGTGTATTTGTACTCATGTGTAACTTGTATGTGTGTCAGTATATGATTTCTGTAGGGATCTCCAAATTGTGTTTGAAACATTTTTGTTATCTAAGACCAGTTAGAGGGATAACTTTTAAATTCTTGGCTTTTAAATTCCCCTATCAATAAATGATTTTTTCCCCCTGTTTGACATATGGCTAAGCCACGTTGAAAAGTGTATTGTTAGTTGACTGAACTTAAATTCAAATAAGTAAATGAATTTAGAAATTCATTCTTTTCTGTTACAGATGAACCTCTAGTCTTGCTTTGAAAAAGCCATTTTGTGTAACCCCTGACTGAATAATTTCCTAATACACCTGTTGGGAGGATCACTGATACAGTATGGCATTTGAGAGGTACTTTTTCTTGATGAAATACTGGTGATTAGAGAAGAGAGGTGTTTTGTTTTTGTTTTTTGTTTTTTTTCCTGATCATTATGAACATTGGCTTTTCACCCCTGAAGTAAAAATGTTGAAAACGGAGTCTTCAGGTGAACGAACCACTCTTAGAAGTGCCTCTCCTCACAGGAATGCTTATAGAACTGAGTTCCAGGCACTGAAAAGTACCTTTGACAAACCCAAGTCAGATGGAGAGCAAAAAACAAAAGAAGGTGAGGGCTCCCAGCAGAGCAGGGGGAGGAAATATGGCTCCAACGTCAACAGAATTAAAAATCTATTTATGCAGATGGGTATGGAACCCAATGAAAATGCTGCAGTCATTGCCAAAACAAGGGGGAAAGGTGGACCTTCATCTCCACAGAGAAGAATGAGGCCCAAAGAATTTCTGGAAAAAACAGATGGCTCAGTTGTTAAGTTGGAGTCCTCTGTTTCAGAACGAATCAGTAGATTTGACACAATGTACGATGGCCCTTCATATTCTAAGTTCACAGAAACTCGGAAGATGTTTGAGAGAAGTGTGCATGAGTCAGGACAGAACAATCGCTATTCCCCAAAGAAAGAGAAAGCTGGAGGGAGTGAGCCTCAGGATGAGTGGGGTGGCTCGAAGTCCAACAGAGGCAGTACTGATTCCTTGGACAGCCTTAGCTCCCGGACAGAGGCTGTCTCCCCAACTGTGAGTCAACTGAGTGCAGTGTTTGAGAATACCGATTCCCCCACTGCCATTGTTCCTGAGAAGGCTGAGAACAACGAATACTCAGTGACTGGGCATTATCCCCTGAATCTACCATCTGTTACTGTTACAAATCTTGACACTTTTGGTCACCTTAAGGATTCTAATTCTTGGTCTCCTCCAAGCAAACACGGTGATGATGCAGAGGATTCTCAGAAGGGTCATACAACTCCGGGACCAGAAGTGGCTTTGAAAAGTACCTCTCTAGCCTCCATACCCAGTGAAGAGATACAGCAGAGCGAGGAAGCCGAGGACTCCACATCCAACCAAGAGACTCTTGTCAGGATTGACAGAGACGTTCCTGAAGAACCTTGTGCTGACACTAAGGCAATGCCAGAGTCTGAAATCCCTTCACCACAAAATGAACCTTTAGAAGACGCCGAAGCTAATTTAGTTGGGAGTGAGGCAGCAATGCATCAGAAGAAAGACCTGGCAGGTGGTGATTTTACCTCTGTTGATGCTTCTGGATCCAGGTGTGGAAAGGAAGTACCTGAAGATTCGGTTCATTTTGAGAGTTCCCATGTTTACATGCACAGTGATTATAATGTATACAGGGTCAGATCCAGGTATAATTCAGACTGGGGAGAGACGGGCACTGAGCAGGATGAGCAGGAAGAGAGTGATGAAAACAGTTACTATCAACCTGATATGGAATACTCGGAAATTGTTGGATTGCCAGAAGAAGACGACATCCCAGCAAATAGGAAAATTAAGTTTAGTAGTGCTCCAATTAAGGTAAGTATGTTTTCTCAGTTTGTTTTTGAAATTTCTAAGTTTTTTTTTTTTTTGTATTTGGGCCTAAATGTATGTAGAATAGATTTGACAACTATAAGGAAGTCACGGTTGTTGATATACACATGTTGTCAAGTGATTTTAAAAGTGTGGGAGATGTCCACATATTTCCTAATATACTTTAGGATTGCTTAAACCGGTATTGACTAATAGTAAAGTTGAAGAAGTTTGAGGATTGTGAGATACATTCCAATGGACTGGAGTATGATAATATGAACCCGGAAAACCAGGAGTGTTAGTTTGAAAATAGAATTACCTCTTTAACTAGTTCTACTAAAAGTACCCATATGTAATAACATTTTCTCAACTGGACCCTCTAGGATATGAGGCATAATGTACAATGAGAGAGTCATGGTTGACCTTGAAATAATAGTCTTTATTTACTTGCTTAAAAAAATCTGAGTTCTCTCTTAAGTGTAAGTGGATTGTGAGGAATGTTGAAACCTATTATTTTTTTTTTTGTACTGCTACTTAGTAGTGAAAGTTTGATTCATGGAAATATATTAGCGGACTTAAATACTTTAATTGGAAAGCTATGACTGTGATTAGCTTTGAGTTCAGAATTTGTGATGTAGCCCTGAAATGAAATTTTATGAAAGGAAATTAAATTGATTTGTCATTCATGTATATGTTTTTACCTCTTAAAAGCTGGATAAATGCCAGTTGAATTCAGATGCTCTATTCTAATGACTTCACTTACTTAACATTTGGTGTAGAAGAAATAGCAGAACGTACATCAGTAGTGGGGGGGGTGAAGCATTATTAGCCGATAATGGCGGGAGGGGCAGGAGGTGGTGGGTTGAGTATTACAGTCTCCTGGAATGCTTTTTCAAAGTGTACTTGCCCATCAGCCTCCGTCCTAAGATTCTAGTATGCCCTCCTAGGGGAATCTGAAGGGTTGTGGTGGTAGAAATGTGTAGTTTGAAACCACTTTCTAGGGACTCCCAGCTTGTCCTGTGTGTATATATAATAGATTTGGAATTTGATGTGGTGTCTTTTAAAGGAATCTGAAATCCACTGTCTATTGTCATTTCCGTCTTTTGAAACTTCCATATAAGGCTGTAAGAGAGAGAATTTATAAAGCAAAGAGAAATTTGACTTTGCTCTAATTATGAAATACTAATTTGAAATAAATCTATGAAATTATTTGTAGGTGTTAGTAGGCAGTTCATTTCATTAGGGTAAGACAATTTCTGGGTCAGAATGGGCCATGCCAAGTTACACTGTGTTTAAAATAACTAGAGATGTGAGTGTGGTTTCTGAGTAAGCTAAGTTTCTTTGCTGTGTTTTCCCACTTTCCTTTGTGAGCCTCTCCCCTAAACCTCTGCCCTCCACCCCCCAAGTCTTAGGCTCTCTCTAGAGGTGTCTTTCCATCAGGCTTATCCAGGGAATTCCTAAATTTCGCCGTGCATGTTCCCTTCCAAGTGCTCTCCTTTGAGCATCATCTTTCTACCCCTTAGGAAGAAAGCAATAAGATTAAATTGTTTCACACTGAGCAAGGCAGGAGTAACTGAAATGAACTCTTCAAGGAGTTTGTTAAAACCAGTGACTAACTCCCTAATGGGGGATAGCAGCTTACGAAAATTTATCAACTAGAACACTATCCACTCGACCAAATGGGGCACAGCCTTGTATTTGCGTCCTGAGCTGCACAAAACGTAATGTGTGGTGATGGGTTTAATGCATTTTAAAGGATTTCTTATTGAAATATGGCTGTTCATAGGTGAACAAACCAGGTTTGGGATATGATACTCTGAAATTCAAGTGATTTTTTTCCTACTGTTGCTTATAACAAAAAGCATTTTGCCTTTTAATTTTCATGTAATAAAGAAATTATGTATTTTATATAACAAGGAATGAAATAGTTTACATACATATAAGTTGTAACACATTTTATCAAGAATAAGGTTTGTGAAACAAAGATAATGCACTAGGTTTTAGTGGGCAGTTAACAGTACTAGTTGGAGTGGATTAAGTTTGCAAACAGAAGATTCATTCTTAGCGCTTTGTAATGAATAAGACAATTACTCTTTCTTGTTGTTCTCACTGTTTAACATGTAAGTGGATTCACTTGGAAGTCTTGAGAGTCACTTTTCTACTGGTACTGGGGATGGTAGTATTTAGATTATTCTCCAGTTAAGATTTTTACCTCAGAGCGTGGTAACAATGAAGTTCAACAAGTGTTTATTGAAGGCTTTTCATGTGTCTGTGCTCATGCTGTTAGAGGTAGAAGACACACAAATCTACAATGTTGCCTCTTTCCTATATGAGCTGGTGGAATCAGTTCTTCAATACTTGGTATTTAAAACCCATATAACACAGTCTGAAAACCTGTGCTGAAATGTCTCATGTCCTATGAGGACTGTAACTGTCCTTGGCTGTGCTAAATGCATGGATTGAACAGGATTTGATAAACCATTTGGAAGGAAATACACTGAGCCATTCCCTATGTATGTTTCATTATTCCTTTTGTAAAGTTTCATTTACAGAATGGGAGATAATGATTTCCAACTTAAACCTTTTCTTTTGAAATTTAAACATACTGCCTCTTTCAGCAACCAAAGGTGACATACTCTTTACAGAAATGATCTTTAGAACTTTTACATTCTTTTCCTGATATTCTCATTTACTCTTCACCAGAGTAAATATTCTCAACACTTTTGGGCATTTGTTTTACATCTTGTGTATGATCTTTATGTGTGTGATCATTTCATCAGTTTTTATTTCAGTTCTCCTATAGATTTTTTTAAATAGTTACTTTCCTGAGACATCTTAAATCTGGATCTAGGAAAGCATCAAAATGATAGCTGATCTTTCCTGTGTAGCGTATTACTTATACATAATCGGTGACATTTAGAAGTGGATTGTTTCTTAATGGATAGGTTGATGTGTTTCACAGTGTTGTGGAAAATTACAGTGGGATTGATTAATAATGGAAAATATAAAATCCAAGTTTGAAATATGGAGTGAGAGAGTGTTATGAACCATGCTAATTTGAGCTGTGGAATTATGCCTTCATTCTCAGGAATTTCTCAAAACCAAGAGATTGAATTAATTAGCTTTGCTTTAAATGAACCCAGGAGAGAAGTGGTGACATTTCTCATTATTGTTTTCTGTTAATTCGGAATAGTTACTGAGACCTTGCTACGTGTGGGTAACAGTGCAATGTACAATAAAATGTAATAAATGTAATAAATACATAAAGTGACTGGAGCCGATCAGGTCAGCAAATGCCAGGAGGTGGGGAGTGGATAGCCCCTTAAAGATGGTTCTCGGGCTATTCTCCTGAACTGTTCTTGGATGCTCTTTCTAAGGTCACTGCAACCCTTTTAAGGCAGTCATAACCCTTTCTCTCTTTCTGGTAGTCTTATGTCCTTTGGATAGGTGTTCTTGAAACTTAGCATCGATGAAAAAGGGTATTTTCCTAATTCCCTTAGCAAGAAGGAGATTGCAGGGTTAAGGTATGTTGTGCTCTACCTTTCTGAGTGTTCTCTCCAACTGTATGGAGCTTTGCAGAGCTGGGGTTCAGAGGAGAATCACCAGGGACTGCAGTGCTTCTCTAAATCTTACGTGAAACTTGTTGAAAGGGGGTCCCTTAGCATTCTCTTTATTTTGGGGGGCTCTGAGTTGATACACAGGACATATACAAGACCTTTTATTTGGCAGGTGTTCAGAGTATAGTTCTGAGATTCAGATTTCGGTCATTCTGTTTCTTCAGATAGTCTTGATCAGTGCTCTTAAACTTTAATATGCTTACAAAACCCCTGGGGATATTTTAAAGTGCGGATTTCTAATTCAGCAGGTATTTGGGGGGAAATCACCTTGATGCAAAGATTAGCCTACAAGCACATCACCAGCTTTCCCATGGGCTATACAATAGACAGGCTCAGCAACCAGATTAAATGTCTGAATCATAGTATTTATCAAATCAGTTTAAAACACATAGCCGGAAGCAAGAGGAAAGCCATAGGGAAAGTTTACACATGTAAGGAGCAAAGTTTGGAAGGACCACAGGACCTGAGGCCCGGGTACACAGTATTTATATGCCCAGCCCTCTCACTTTCACATCACCCTTCCCACTAAGGGTGTGGTTCTGAGGACCAGAGTTGATTTTTGAGCATAGGCTCCACATACTAATAATCCCCTCAGCTCATGATATCATGGTATTTGCTCTATAGAAGAGAGACGGTACAAGTACGCTTACAGACAGCTGTAGCTTTGCCAGTTTCCCTGGGTTTTATTTGTGTTTCTTGGGCCAAGCACCTGTGGGTCTGAAATAAGACCAGGCTGGGTGGCCTTGGTGGGTGGCTGGTATGGAGATGGCGTATCTGGCAGTCCAGAGATGGCACGAGGATGACTTGGTCTTTCCATCCCTTTTCTTTCTGCAAGTGAACTTCTTGTTTGTTCCATCGTATTTTCTATTTTGGAATGTCTTTTAGCTTACTAACTTACCTATTTTTAGCACATCTTAAAAATTTTGCCTTCATTTTTAGAAGCTTATAAGCTTTTATTATCTGTACCTAATTGAGCCTCTGAGTGTGGCCTTTACCTCCTTAAGTTATTAGCTTACTTACCATTAGTGACCATCACTTACAAGTGTCATCCATCCCGTTTGTTTTCTTGACCTATATAACAGAATTTAATATTGTTGAATAATATAGCAAATTCACAAACACTAGGTCTCAGGTGAGATTGTGGATTCCTAAGAAGATCTCAAGTGTGTGCTGAGGCTGCTGGTCAACAGATTGCTCTTTGGAATATGATTGTGAAGTAGTTTTCTGACTTCTGACAAGAGCTGGTCACAAAATGTTGGGGAATCCTTTAACACATTTGCTTTCCGGATTGGTCTGCTATAGCTGGTTTTGTGGAATTGTGTTCTTTGAAGCTGACACAGGTGTAAAGTTGTAAGGTGCATGATGGTTGTGGATACAAGAGTGGATTAT